TTGGTACGCACCAGGTGCGGTACCCCACGGGGGATTTTTTTGACGCCGGGCGCTTGTCACGGTACGTTGTGCTTGTCGTCCTCGGGACATGCCTATGCGACTTGGGTTTTATGTGCCGTAATCAATTGCTGCCCCACTATCCCTGCATGTCGCCACCTGCCGTATCTGATTGCGCTCTTTCCCACCACGCCGTTGCTTGTCCGCCTTGACGAACGGCCGCTGTCCACCGATGTATTCACGGCAAGAGCCAACGCCATCAACTGACACTTTGGCTAGTTAGACGAAGCAGAGCACAGCAACCGGTCATCGTCAAAGAATGTGGTAGAGCGTGAAATGACACGACCACGAGGCATGGGCCCATCCGGAATGCTATTAAGATACATGCATTTACATTCTAGTACACCGTCTCCAAAATGTAGGCGAGATATGTTTCGTAGTGCAGGTACACCGCCAACGCTCATCACCCGCTAATTCCCGACGCTTTCTGCTCGTTCTCGGACAATAGTTGAGGACGAGGAACGATGCGAAGACTGGCCGTGTGGCGATACATCGTTGAACCTGGAAGGCCCCTGTTACGACGGCTACGAAGGCCCGGGTTCGACTAGGAGGCTAATCAGCTCTTCTTCCACGTTCTTGGGCGATTGTAGCGACGACACGTGTTGCCAACGTGAGACACGAGTAACTGCCCATCATCAAAACAGCAATGTCGACATTGATGCCGAGTTGGTTTGGTTTAGGCGCGCCACGTGCAAACTCCACGATTAATCCACCTTGAGAAATTCCAGTGAGAACGCCAGGTGCTACATGTTTTGTCGCACCTTGCTCCAACACGTTCCGAATCAAAGTTGCAAGTGACTGTTTCTGTTGCCGCCGCCCCCCCCCCTCCCGAAAACTGCGGACTCTGACGTCAACACCAGCCATCACCTACTATTGCGACTCGTTCGTGGATGCGAGTGGTGCAAGCCTGTGTCCATCCGGCTACAGTTTGACTATTGACGAAAGCATCCCTTGTGGGATTGGACAATTGTGTGACGAGGCGACGTGCTGCGAAGAAGGTGAGGATGGCTGTTGACTAAGGTGCGTTTTTTGGGCAAGACGACAATGGTCGGGGGAGGCACTGGAATCAAGGCGAATCCAGCAGAGATCAAACTCCATTCGCACCGAGCATCAACTGTTGTATGCGTATGTTCTTCAGCCAACTCGCCCTGTCCAAAGTCTTTTCGCCCGTCAGGTACGAGGCAGTTTGTGAAACGTAGTCTCAGCCATGCCACGGTACACAGCGCCTCGCCAGTTCGGCAACCCTGCCGTGCATAACAGCCGATACACCTTGGTTCGATCAATACGTTGTGTTACAGTGTATCGGTAGTAGACGATATATGTTGCGGAGTGCAGGTACGCCGCCAACGCTCATACCTGCTTTTTCCGGGCGCTTTTTGCTCGTGCTCTGGCAACAGACGCGCGATGCGAAGACTGGCCGTGTGACGATGTATCCACCAACCTGAAAGGTTCTTGCTACAACTACAATTACGACGATAGAAGGAAGCTCAGCAGCTCTTCTTCCACGTCTCTGGGCGAATGCAGCGAGGACACGTGTTGCCAACGTGAGAGCCGCAATGAACCTATTGCTACCCCCCAGGTTTGATCTCCTCAATGCAGAACCAGCCAGTGGAGGTTTGTATTTTTGTGTAGCGATGTTCGTATTCTGTTTTGCAATGCTTTTACAGTCGTCGCTCGCAGTCCATATCTATCGTCATGTCCACGGTGACGGTAGATTCGATCCAGAGCCCACGGAAGGGGTCCTCTCCCACCGCGCCTCTCTCTCGGCGATCTTTTCCGTCAGACTCTCGAACCCACAAAAAAATCGGTTCAACGCAGTTTCCCCGGATGCATACAAAGCTTGCAATGCTCTGCACTTGTACCCGTGAATCAGACACATGTCGGGGAGGGTATCCCGAAGTTGACCACGATGCAACCATCCAGAACCCGGAAGATGATATCCGAATAACACCCGCAGCGACCGCAATGTGCATGGTCATTTGCTCTCTACGATGATGCTGTTTATTGACTGCAGCACGGCTCAATTTGCGCTCTTGCCCCGTATATGTTCCCATGCTCAGCGAAATGCACCTCGGTAGACTGTACCACGTGCCCATGATACGAAAGTCCGTTGGGCACCCTCCCCGTTATCGAGAAACGAAGTGCTGGAAACGATTGACCCTTGCACGAAAAACGCGGGGCCTGTACGGCAATCAATTGGGACAGCTTTGTAGTCCCTGCTTGCTTTGCATGAGACCACCGTTTGATTGTATGTTTTGTCAAGAGCATGCACTCCAACGCTGTTCGCATCCACGAACGAGTCACTCGTAGACTGTTCAGCTGCCGTCCGCATCATTGTGGCCGGGTCGCAGTACCAGTAATGCAAGTCGGGAAGGAGGGAGATGGATAAACAAATGAATCACAAGCTTGAGTAGTGACAACTACGGTTGGTGGTCGGGGCTATGACGTGCTGCCGTTGCATACCCATCGGTCTATATTAAATGCGCGTATCGACAGAGTGATGTTTGATGATTTCATCAACCTGACGGTAGTACCTGTCTCCCACCGTTTGTCTTTCGGCATCGCTCCACTTCATGGATGTCGAGACAAATACCCACCGAAATGTGCACAACCCCGATTTTCCCATATTGTCAACTGGCATCAGTGAGAACACATTAATTGCACGGTTTGGTCAACCCAATTCCAACGCCATCGAACTCTAAATTGCATTTGACTGTTTTTGTTGCCACGTTCCCCTCGCCTTCCCGAAAACTTCGGATTCCGGCGTCGACACAAGTCATCGACTATACGTGCGACTCGTTCGTGGACGCCGAGAGCGGTGCAAGCCTATGTCCGTCCGGGTACGTTGCGATTTCCCTTGGCGGAAGCGTCTCGTGCGGCATCGGAGTAGAGTGTGATGTGGCGACTTGCTGCGAAGGTGAGCATGAATGTCGGCTACACCGTGCGTTGTTTGGCCCATACTATTACATCGGTGGGAGGAAGCTGTTGGCATCAATTTCACCAGAGATCAAGTTTATCCGAACAGACGTGACACTGCTTTGTTTTTCAACACTCTCGCCCTTACAAGAGAGTTCGTTGGTCCACTTGCAGTAGCCCTGTCAAAATTGTATATCGCCCGTCAGTTACGAGGCAGATAGTCTGAATTGGTCGCGGCCATGTCAGGGTTCAGCACCTCGCCAAACCGGTAGCTCTCCCGCGCAGAGCAAACGATTCACGTTGATTCGATCGATACGTTCGACTGTATTGTCTCCAAAAAGTAGGCGAGATATGTTGCGGAGTGCAGGTACGCCGCCATTGCTCGACACCAGCTCATTCCGGGCGTTTGATGCTCGTGCTCTGACAACAGAGGAGGTAAGATGTGAAGACTGGACGTGTGACGACGTATCCACGAACCTGGAGGGTTCTTGCTACAACGGAGACGACAGTGGCGAAAGAAGGAGGCTCAGCAGCTCTTCTTCCACGTCTCTGGGCGAATGCAGTGACGACACGTGTTGCCAACGTGAGAGCCGCAAGAACTATAGTTATCGCCCTGGGTTTGATCTCCTCAATGAGAACTAGGTATCCGGAATCTTGATCATAATCCAATCATCCAGAAACCAGCAGATGACATCTGGACAACCGCCGCGACGGCAATGTGCGCACTTGTTTGTGCTCTACGCGACGATGCCATCTGCCCTACGGCGCGGCCTTTGGTTTCTATTTTTTTCCCCACTTTGTTGCCCCTTTGAACCTACCGTCCACAAACCTCACCTCGGTTGACTGCTGTACTACGTGCTGAAAACGATCGACCCTTGCACAAAGAGGGAAGCCTATACGGCAGTCTAGTTGGACAGGTTGTGGTCCGTACTTTCTTGCGTGAGGCTACCGTTTGATGGAATTTGTGATCAAGAGCGTTAAGTCAACCACTGCTCGCATCGACGAACCAGTCACGTAGACTCGTTAGCTGGAGTGGAAAGCCGAGTCGGTGGATTACGGTATATTTATCGCGTTTCGGGAGGGACGGGATAGGTAACAAGTGAAACTCAGCCTTGCATTACTACGGTCGGTAGGCGCAGCAATTGACATGCTGCCTCCTTTTGCCAATTAGTCTTCTTGCAGGTGTTTGATGTACGTGTAGATAAGAGTGCTGGTTGATGGTTTCACCGACCGAAACGGGATCATGCCCTTGGGACCATATGTATCCGACCTCACTCCCACCATGGACCTTCGGCATCACCGCGTCTCACGCTTGCTGGGTCGAGTAGGCGCCGACATCGAAATAGCATATTGGTTGATGCGCACCGCGTGCACATTGCCCGTATGATCCATCTTTTTCGATTTATTCCAGTGAGAACACAAGCTGTTGCAAGGTTTGGTCGACCCGTTTTCCTACGCGATCGAAGTCAAAGTTGTAGCTGAGTGTTTGTGTTGCCTCGTACCTCCCATCGCTTCAAAAACTGCGGATGCCGGCGTCGACACAAGTCATCGACTATACGTGCGACTCTTTCGTGGACGCGGAGAGCGGTGCAAGCCTGTGTCCGTCCGGGTTCAGTGCTATCGCCAATGCCGAAAGCGTCTCATGCGGCGTCGGAGTAGCGTGTGACGAGGCGACATGCTGCGAAGAAGGTGGGGATAGCTATCGGCTACCGTGCGTTGTGTGGCCCACATGGCAAGGGTGGGGGGAACTTGTTGGAATGGAAGCGAATCCACCCGAGGTGACACTCGATACGTGCCGAAGAGCACTTCCAACACGCCCTTGTTCTTCACCCGCACAACAAAGATCGTTGGTGCATTTGCAGCACGCCTGTCGTTCTTTATACGCCGTCAGGTACGAGGCAGTGAGTGTAAGGTAGTCTCGGCTATGTCAGGGTTTGGCTTCTCACCAAAACCGGTAGCCCTCCCGCGCGGAGAAGGCAATGCTCCCGATTCGATCGATTCGCTCCACTGCGTTGTATCAGTAGTAGATGGGATATGCCACGCCGCCAACGCTCAACACCCGCTCGTTCCCGACGCTTGTTGCTCGTGCTCTGACAATAGATGTAGATGAGGAACGATGCGAAGACTGGCCGTGTGACGACGTATCCACGAACCTGGGGGGTTCTTGCTACATCTATGCATACAACGACGACGATGACGATGGCGAGGGAAGGAGGCTCAGCAGCTCTTCTTCCATGGCCGAATGTAGCGACGACACGTGTTGCCAACGTGAGAGACGGGTATCCACCGATCCCAATACAGCAACGGCAACATGCTTTTCAAGTTCATTTGGTTTTAGCGCACGACGCACATTGAGCAGTGAACCTTTCTTCTTGATGGTGCGGGTGACAACACCAGCTGCTATATGGTATTGTCGACCAGGTGTCCAATGATGTGGAAGTCAAAATCATAGCGACTGTTTTTTGCCGCGTACCACCCACCTCCCCAACATCTGCGGATCCGCGTCGACACAAGCCATCGACTATACGTGCGACTCGTTCGTGGATGCGGAGAGCGGTGCAAGCTTGTGTCCATCCGGGTTCAGTGCTATCGCCAATGCCGAAAACGTCTCGTGCGGCGTCGGAGAGGAGTGTGACGAGGCGACGTGCTGCAAAAATGGTGGGGATGAATGTTGGGTACGATGTGTTGTTTGGCCCATCCGACAATGTTGGCGGCAACAGTTTAGAGTCAAACCGAACCCGCCCGAGATGGCTTGTGTGCCCGATTCGTCCATCGTTGATGAGAGCCTATTCAAGCTTGTCGAGTTGCTCATGCCTTTGCGATGTCTGATTGTCGTCTGACTGTTGCGGTTTTGTCCAGATGTGGAGCTTATGTGCGACTCGTTCGTGGATGCGGCGAGCGGTGCAAGCTTGTGTCCATCCGGGTTCAGTGCTATCGCCAATGCCGAGAGCATCTCGTGCGGCGTCGGAGAGGAGTGCGACGAGGCGACATGCTGCGAAGAAGGTGGGGATGGCTGTTGGCTACGATGCATTGTTTGGCCCATCCGACAGTGTTGGCGGAAGGACGTTAGAATCAAACCGAACCCGCCCGAGATGGCTTGTGTGACGGTGTCGCCGGACGTCGATAAACGCCTTCATGCGTGTGGGATATCTGGTGGTTGTCGTCTGACTGTTGCGGTTTTGTCCAGATGTGGAGCTTATGTGCGACTCGTTCGTGGATGCGGCGAGCGGTGCAAGCTTGTGTCCATCCGGGTTCAGTGCTATCGCCAATGCCGAGAGCATCTCGTGCGGCGTCGGAGAGGAGTGCGACGAGGCGACATGCTGCGAAGAAGGTGGGGATGGCTGTTGGCTACGATGCATTGTTTGGCCCATCCGACAGTGTTGGCGGAAGGACGTTAGAATCAAACCGAACCCGCCCGAGATGGCTTGTGTGACGGTGTCGCCGGACGTCGATAAACGCCTTCATGCGTGTGGGATATCTGGTGGTTGTCGTCTGACTGTTGCGGTTTTGTCCAGATGTGGAGCTTATGTGCGACTCGTTCGTGGATGCGGCGAGCGGTGCAAGCTTGTGTCCATCCGGGTTCAGTGCTATCGCCAATGCCGAGAGCATCTCGTGCGGCGTCGGAGAGGAGTGCGACGAGGCGACATGCTGCGAAGAAGGTGGGGATGGCTGTTGGCTACGATGCATTGTTTGGCCCATCCGACAGTGTTGGCGGAAGGACGTTAGAATCAAACCGAACCCGCCCGAGATGGCTTGTGTGACGGTGTCGCCGGACGTCGATAAACGCCTTCATGCGTGTGGGATATCTGGTGGTTGTCGTCTGACTGTTGCGGTTTTGTCCAGATGTGGAGCTTATGTGCGACTCGTTCGTGGATGCGGCGAGCGGTGCAAGCTTGTGTCCATCCGGGTTCAGCGCTATCGCCAATGCCGAGAGCATCTCGTGCGGCGTCGGAGAGGAGTGTGAGGAGGCGACGTGCTGCGAAGAAGGTGGGGATGGCTGTTGGCTACGATGCATTGTTTGGCCCATCCGACAGTGTTGGCGGAAGGACGTTAGAATCAAACCGAACCCGCCCGAGATGGCTTGTGTGACGGTGTCGCCGGACGTCGATAAACGCCTTCATGCGTGTGGGATATCTGGTGGTTGTCGTCTGACTGTTGCGGTTTTGTCCAGATGTGGAGCTTATGTGCGACTCGTTCGTGGATGCGGCGAGCGGTGCAAGCTTGTGTCCATCCGGGTTCAGTGCTATCGCCAATGCCGAGAGCATTTCGTGCGGCGTCGGAGAGGAGTGTGACGAGGCGACGTGCTGCGAAGAAGGTGGGGATGGCTGTTTTGTACCGTGGATATAATAGCCCATCCGATAAGGTTTGCGGATTGGGGTTGGTATTACACTGATCATGCTCGATATGGCCAGTGTGGCTAAGATGCCTTGCTGGTATTGCCGTATTTTGTGTCCCTGTTCTTCACGTTGCTGCCACGGTTATCGTGTTCATTAGCCAGATTACTTGGGATGTCTGTTGGCGGTCTCCTCGTCGCTGTTTGCGGCGACGGATTGGTGGTAGTGAAGTGTGAAATTTGCCTTCACTGCCTTTTTGATGCTGACATTGTTGTGCGTTGCAGATGCCACACAACCGCCCACGATGGCCCCGGAGTACACATGCGATTCGTACTTGAACGATCTTGGCGACACGTTGTGCCCGGCTGGATTGTCTCCGGTTGGTGGTGAAGTCACGTGTGGTGTCGACGGTGGTTGCGACGATTCCACATGCTGCGTAGAAGGTGACCGACCTTCAGTTTCGTCCGCTATTTTCCTGCGCTGGAATAGATAGCCTGTTGTTTTCTGTAGCGGCCCACAAGGTATTGTACGGAGTGATAGTCGCACTTTATGGGTTGTACGTGCTCGGTAGGAGTTGTTTCTGGTTATGATTTGTACCTATGATTCAACCTGTGGACGGTGTTGTGGATGTGGACCCGAAGGTACTCATGCTAACTGTCATATTCTCGCTCCATGCTTCGTCACGTCGCCACCCCGGCCGAACCAACTATCACTAAGACACACCGAGCCCAAGCCCTGCGCCCACTCCGGCGCCTTTCGTGGCGCCAACACCGAGACCGATCTTCACCGAACCACCGTTGACCCCCGCCCCTACCCGCGGTGAGTGACAAGCGCTACGGTGATAGGGCGTGCGTGATCGTTAGTATCGGCATATCAGGGTGTAGCACGGACTGCTTTGAGGTTGGACTTGTCGCTGGTGTCAGTTGGAACTAGCTCTCCGCCGAGTAGCTTAAGGGCCGTTCTCTGTTAATTTTTGTGGACTTGGACGTGTGCTGACGCTAACTGCCATGTTCTCGCTTCACTCTTTCGTCACGTCGCTACTCCCGACGAACAATCTATCTACGTCAGATTCACGGAGGCCAAGTCCTGCGCCCACTCCGGCGCCTTTCGTGGCGCCAACCCCGAGACCGATCTTCACCGAACCACCGTTGACTCCCGCCCCTACCCGCGGTGAGTGACAAGCGCTACGGTGCTAGTGGGGGCGCGATCAGTAGTATCAGCATGTCAGGGTGTAGCACGGCCTGCTATGCGGTTGGACTTGTCGCTGGTATCAGTTGGAACTAGCTCTCCGCCGAGTAGCTTGGGGCCGTCCTCAGTTTAATGTTGTGGACTTGGACGTGTGCTGACGCTAACTGCCATGTTCTCGCTTCACTATTCGTCACGTCGCTACTCCCGACGAACAATCTATCTATGTCAGATTCACGGAGGCCAAGCCCTGCGCCCACTCCGGCGCCTTTCGTGGCGCCAACACCGAGACCGATCTTCACCGAACCACCGTTGACCCCCGCCCCTACCCGCGGTGAGTGACAAGCGCTACGGTGCTAGTGGGGGCGCGATCAGTAGTATCAGCATGTCAGGGTGTAGCACGGCCTGCTATGCGGTTGGACTTGTCGCTGGTATCAGTTGGAACTAGCTCTTCGCCGAGTAGCTTTTCAGTCCTCAATTTCTTATTGTGGACTTGGACGTGTGCTGACGCTAACTGCCATGTTCTCGCTTCACTCTTCGTCACGTCGCTACTCCGGACGAACAATCTATCTACGTAAGATTCACGGAGGCCAAGTCCTGCGCCCACTCCGGCGCCTTTCGTGGCGCCAACACCGAGACCGATCTTCACCGAACCACCGTTGACCCCCGCCCCTACCCGCGGTGAGTGACAAGCGCTACGGTGCTAGTGGGGGCGCGATCAGTAGTATCAGCATGTCAGGGTGTAGCACGGACTGCTATGCGTATGAGATTGGACTTGTCACTGGTGTCAGTTGGAACTAGCTCTTCGCCGAGTAGCTTTAGGGCCGTTCTCTGTTTAATGTTGTGGACTTGGACGTGTGCTGACGCTAACTGCTATGTTCTCGCTTCACTCTTCGTCACGTCGCTACTCCGGACGAACAATCTATCTACGTCAGATACACGGAGGCCAAGCCCTGCGCCCACTCCGGCGCCTTTCGTGCCGCCAACACCGAGACCGATCTTCACCGAACCACCGTTGACCCCAGCCCCTACCCGCAGTGAGTGACAAGCGCTACGGTGCTAGTGGGGGTGCGATCAGTAGTATCAACATGTCAGGGTGTAGCACGGCCTGCTATGAGGTTGGACTTGTGGCTGGTATCAGTTGGAACTAGCTCTTCGCCGAGTAGCTTTTCAGTCCTCAATTTCTTATTGTGGACTTGGACGTGTGCTGACGCTAACTGCCATGTTCTCGCTTCACTCTTCGTCACGTCGCTACTCCGGACGAACAATCTATCTACGTAAGATTCACGGAGGCCAAGTCCTGCGCCCACTCCGGCGCCTTTCGTGGCGCCAACACGGGGACCGATGTTGACCCAGCCACCGTTAACCCCAGCCCCTACCCGCGGTGAGTGACAAGCGCTGCGGTGCTAGTGGGGGTGCGATCAGTAGTATCAGCATGTCAGGGTGAAGCACGGGCTGCTATGAGGCTGGTCTTGTCGCCGGTGTCAGTTTGAACTCGCTCTGCCGTGCGAAGTATCTCATAGAGTGACTCCCTCGTGCAGGTCGACAACAATACTGCCAATCCTGATCAGAATGAGAGGACGCCCACAGCAAAAAGTCCAACGATCTGCACAACACAACAACCATCGAAAAATGCACATGTTGCACCAACTGACCAACTGGTGCTTACCTTTAGGACCGTCCTCTGTTGAATGTTGTGGACTTGGACGCGAATGTACTGATGCAAACTACCGTGTTCCTGCTTCGCTCTTTTTCGCGTCGCCACTCCCGACGAACAATCTATCTACGTCAGATACACGGAGGCAAAGCCCTGCAACCTCCCCGGCGCCTTTCGTGGCGCCAACACCGGGGCCGATGTTGACCCAGCCACCGTTAACTCCCGCCCCTACCCGCGGTGAGTGACAAGCGCCACGGTGGTAGTGGTGGTAGTGAGGGGTGTGTCACAGGTGGGCATGTCAGGGTGTAGCACCGACTGCTAAATGAGGACTTGTCTCCTGTGTCAGTTGGAACTCGCTCTCGTACGGAGTGGCTTGAGTGGCCGTCTTCATCAACTGAAGTGGGCCAGAGAGTTATATTAACGTTTGCGTTGCGTCAAGTTATGGCCGTGTCACTTGATTTTCATTGTCGAATAGTTTACCCGTCTCTGTTATTTCACCTTCGTCGTGTCTGTCGTGTTTTCCATCGATCATGTTCGCGTGATGCAGACGTGGTGCCACTACCCACGCCATCTCCGTCCCCGCCACAAAATCCTTCACCTGTGCTAGAGCAAACCCTTCCACCTGCGCCCGAGCCAACTATGCCCCCTACCCTCTCGCAAACGACCCCCCCACAACCGTCCCCAACCCTGCCGCCGATGTCAGAGGAAACCCCTGCCCCTTCGCCGGGGGAGACTGTTCCACCTGTGTCGGAGCAAACCCTTCCACCTTTGCCGGAGCCAACTATGCCCCCTACCCTCTCGCAAACAGCCCCACACATTCCGTTCCAAACCCCGTCACCGATTTCTGAGGAAACCCTTCAGCCTTCACCTGGGGAGACTATGTCACCTGTGTTTGACCGGACCCTTCCACCTGCGCCCGAGTCAAGTGTGCCACCTACCCTCTCGCAAACGGCCCCTCCCGTAGCATTCCAAACCCTGTCACCGAATTCAGAGGAAACGTTTCCTCCTTCGCCGGGGGAGACTATGTCATCTATGTTTGACCGCACCGTTCCACCTGTGCCCAAGTCAAGTGTGCCACCTACCCTTTCTCAAACGACCCCGCCCGTACCTTCCCCATCCCTGGCACCAATGTCAGAGGAAACCCTCCCCCCTTCGCCTGGGGAGACTATGTCACCTGTGTTTGACCGGACCGGTCCACCTGTGCCCGAGTCAGGTGTGCCACCTACCCTCTCGCAAACGGCCCCTCCCGTAGCATTCCGAACCTTTTCACCGAATTCTGAGGAAACTCTTCAGCCTTCACCTGGGGAGACTATGTCACCTGTGTTTGACCGCACCTTTCCACCTGTTGCGCCCGAGTCAAGTGTGCCACCTACCCTCTCGCAAACGACCCCTCCCGTAGCATTCCAAACCCGGTTACCGAATTCAGAGGAAACCTTTCCCCCTTCGCCTGGGGAGACTATGTCATCTATATTTGACCGCACCTTTCCACCTGTGCCCGAGTCAAGTGTGCCACCTACCCTTCCTCAAACGACCCCGCCCATACCGTCCCCATCCCTGGCCCCCATGTCAGAGGAAACCCTCCCCCCTTCGCCTGGGGAGACTATGTCACCTGTGTTTGACCGGACCGGTCCACCTGTGCCCGAGTCAGGTGTGCCACCTACCCTCTCTCAAACGGCCCCTCCCGTAGCATTCCGAACCCTTTCACCGAATTCTGAGGAAACTCTTCAGCCTTCACCTGGGGAGACTATGTCACCTGTGTTTGACCGCACCTTTCCACCTGTTGCGCCCGAGTCAAGTGTGCCACCTACCCTCTCGCAAACGACCCCTCCCGTAGCATTCCAAACCCTGTCACCGAAGTCAGAGGAAACCTTTCCCCCTTCGCCTGGGGAGACTGTGTCACCTATGTTTGACCGCACCTTTCCACCTGTGCCCAAGTCAAGTGTGCCACCTACCCTTTCTCAAACGACCCCGCCCATACCTTCCCCATCCCTGGCACCAATGTCAGAGGAAACCCTCCCCCTTTCGTCCGGGGAGACTATCTCACCTGTGTTTGACCGGACCCTTCCACCTGTGCCCGAGTCAAGTGTGCCACCTACCCTCTCGCAAACAGCCCCTCCCGTAGCATTCCGAACCCCTTCACCGAATTCTGAGGAAACTCTTCAGCCTTCACCTGGGGAGACTATGTCACCTGTGTTTGACCGCACCTTTCCACCTGTTGCGCCCGAGTCAAGTGTGCCACCTACCCTCTCGCAAACGACCCCTCCCGTAGCATTCCAAACCCGGTTACCGAATTCAGAGGAAACCTTTCCCCCTTCGCCTGGGGAGACTATGTCATCTATATTTGACCGCACCTTTCCACCTGTGCCCGAGTCAAGTGTGCCACCTACCCTTCCTCAAACGACCCCGCCCATACCGTCCCCATCCCTGGCCCCCATGTCAGAGGAAACCCTCCCCCCTTCGCCTGGGGAGACTATGTCACCTGTGTTTGACCGGACCCTTCCACCTGTGCCCGAGCCGCCTGTGCCGGGACAAACGCCGGTTCCGCAATCAGCCGTCGACACACTTAGTCCTGCGGTTCAGACCCCAAGCCCGGCAGGTGAAGGTCTCGTATGGTTGAGTTGGTGCGGATTCTCCCTAGCTGTTGGCTTTCATGCGACACCGTTCGATTCACATGTTTCCCGTGTACGTCCTAGCGAGTGGAGCCTCGTATTGCTTTTCGTGCAGGGGCTCACTGATTTGTTGTTTCGTGCCGACGCTCTATTTTTTTTTATTCGTTTCGCTTTCGTTTCGCTATATCTGACGATCCTCGTCGATAGGCAATGACTAGTGATACTAGTGATCACTCCACCACTTGACCCTACTTGCGCACCCGGTACGCTGAAAAAGGAAAGCATTCGCGTCTCGTTAAGGTACCAAATGTGCTGCTGACTATCCGGTGGTCGTCCGTTTTTTTTTGTGTGCTATTTTCGCTGGCGCTGGCGCTGTTGCAGTTACTGTTGCACCTGGAGCGACGGCATCCCCTGAAGCTACTATGGCGCCGATCACCACCATCGCACCAGGAACTACCCTTGCACCCGGTGAAACGTGGGCCCCGGCCCTCACGATTCGAACACCGTCTCCTGGAGCAACGTCTACCCCCGGGGCCACGGCTTCCCCTGGAGCTACTATGGCCCCGATCACCACCATCGCACCAGGAACTACCCTTGCACCCGGTGAAACGTGGGCCCCGGCCCTCACGATTCGAACACCGTCTCCTGGAGCAACGTCTACCCCCGGGGCCACGGCTTCCCCTGGAGCTACTATGGCCCCGATCACCACCATCGCACCAGGAACTACCCTTGCACCCGGTGAAACGTGGGCCCCGGCCCTCACGATTCGAACACCGTCTCCTGGAACAACGTCTGCGCCCGGGGCCACGGCTTTCCCTGGAGCTACTGTGGCGCCGATCACCACCATCGCACCAGGAACTACCCTTACACCCGGTGAAACGTGGGCCCCTGCCCTCACGATTCGAACACCGTCTCCTGGAGCAACGTCTATCCCCGGGGCCACGGCTTCCCCTGGAGCTACTATGGCGCCGATCACCACCATCGCACCAGGAACTACCCTTGCACCCGGTGAAACGTGGGCCCCGGCCCTCACGACTCGAACACCGTCTCCTGGAACAACTTCTGCTCCCGGGGCCACGGCTTCCCCTGGAGCTACTCCTGCACCTTCGGGTAGCACTGGAGAGGTATGATGGAAACCGCTTAGATTTAGCTGCTAAAGCCGATGAGATAACCGTTGAACCGAGTGTGTCACAGGTATACCTGAAGGTGTATTGCTGAAGGCTTTCGCATGTACCAATTTTGTATCGGTAAGCTCGTTGAGGTCCATACCATGTTGCTCGAACACTGGGGCTTTCAACGACGAGCGTTCAAGTCCTGGCCCGGTACCCCGCTCTTGCCTTGCTCCATATTTCCCACCACGCTTTAGGTAGAAAGCCCTGGGACAATAGCCGCTGGAGCGGTGTCAATTTTTGCCCTGATCGGCATAATGGTGGTGTCCACCGGCAGCATCGTCAGGTCGAACCACGGCAATGGGTCAGTGTCATCTGCCGGCGGAGCGGGGGGAGCATCTGCGGATGGCTCCCGCGGCCTTGTGGACACGGTGGGTCTGCTCTGTTCAGTTCTGTTCTCAACATTTTGGTCCATTCTAGATTGGATCTACTGTCCGGCGACGGGTACAGTGGTATTTCATGGAAGCGTGAATTGCAATGGCGCCGTGTTAATAGGACTAAGCGCGGCAGAAGCCACAACTACATTCAGCTTCCTATGGCGTAGTTCTCATTTTCATGGAGCATGTGCTGTCGCCGATGGGAGGGTCGAACTTGGCGCAACGTAGACATTGTATTTTTTTTCTTTTCCGTGTCGTCTTTGCCGGGTGCTGCACTGCCATATCCGATGCTACCATTGCTTGGTGTCTCGCAGGCTGGTGCTATAGCGCCCGTTGGTGAGACAGGCGAAGGGGATAGCCCCCCCCGCGTCAGCCACCGCAGGCCTTCGGCGACTTTGGCGTTCGTGCTCATGACGCAACTCCAGTTTCTTGCGATGCTGTCGCTGGTTGACTATGTCGTGAGCCAAGGTTCCTGGCTCGCCGACTTCGTCGTCGGTCTCAGGTGTGATGAGCAACGAATACTGGTGGCCGTCCATGATATGTGTCTTTCTTTCCGGGTTTCGCAGTTTCCGGTGTTAGCATGTTAAGAGCTACCTCTTCCTTCGTGTAGGATCAGGTTTGCCTTAGGAGCGTAGTTGGCAAGTCCTAAACACCACCTATCGCCGGCTTGCGCGCGGAATACATGGTGTTAGCCCCAAGGCCCTTCTCTACAGGACAGAGTCAAGTGCGCCGCATTTCCAGGCAATTCTTTCGTTTCCACAGGAAACCTCCACAAGATCCCTTCGCCGACCCTGATCTTGTCTACTCTGTCCCCAACTCCTTTATCCAAACTAAAAAGATGGATCAATCTGTGGTGGCCAGCGGACATCGGCGAAGACATCGCCTCCGACGGGTGCATCTTCGAAACTGGGGCAAGTGAAATCGGCGCCTTGGTATTCGTGGGCAATCTTGCGCTGGTGCTAGGCATTCTCCTTGCCATATTCTTCCTTCACGTGGCGGTGGTGTCCGGAGCAGAGGCACTCTGGTTGACGAAGGTGAATAAATATATATTCTGCGTGTTTTTTCTGTCACCGACTAGGTGGGTTACCGTAGCTTACCAGGATGGGTGTAGTGCATTGTAACTCCGCTCTAACCCCCCGACAGTGAGCACTCAGTCATGACACGAGGGCCAAGTTTGGCACCCAACTAATATCCCGCCGTTATGGATAATGTCAAGGCACTTATCCGTTGCAAATTTCGTTCGTGAACAATGCAACAGACCAATTTCCCTGCCCTGTTTCCGATCCGCCTGTCTTCGATCAACCTTTGCCGATGCAGAAACGCGCCCGAGAGAACCTAGACGGAGCACGCCGTCGTAACACCCCTATCAGTGAGCTGCTGGCGCGATTCAGGGGCGGAAGGATAATACGCCAGACGAACCCGGGTCTCACCGATCCCAGTCCGTTCGCCTCTAGAAACCCATCCCTTGTACGTGATGGGTCACAGAGAACTGACGAGGAGGAAGGAGGGCGAGAATTGGTGCCCATGTGCAGCGAGAATCGGCTGAGCCCGGTGGCGATGTGCCGGGAGCACTCGACATCGGCCTGGCTCCATTTCCCGCACGTGGAACTAGTGTTCCTGTTTTTCGCGTTCGAGGGGGCCGTGGCGTCGTTCGCGTCTGCCATTCGGAACTCTGAGTGCCCAGAGATGTTTTACACGGCAATAGCAGCGATGGTGAGCTTGAGAGCCCCTTGATGGGCTCCGGAGGTTTTGTTTTGCTTGCCATGACGTGTTCGAAGGAATACTGGTTGTTTGTTCATTAGGTTCTATCGCAGCCACGTACAAGAGTTTCGAGGAACTTCCATTGGAGCAGGTTATATCGCGAACATCCTGGACGAGGGCACACCGGCTATGTTCTATTTGCTACACAGGTTTTCATGCTTTCAAGGTGGTGAAAGCCCTGGTAGATGCACGCCAAGAATCATTGCGTGCACGATGCTGACACGATGATTATACGAACCGGTCGTGCGTAGTTCGTTTTTCCTAGTCATACCGTTGCGTGTCACACTCACCCTTTCCCATGCTTCGGAATGTTTTGTTTCTGATGCCGGTTTTGTGAAAAAAACAGGTCTTGTACCCGCTGTTGATGTTCGCGACGGTCGTCCGCACTCTGTTCGTCCGGGTTCGTCCCGACGAGCTGCTGATATTCAAGACGTACGACGAAGACGGCACCAACGGCAACACACCCAACGGCAGAGGTACGCCCACCCCGTTTGACGAGGTTAGCACGGCCGTGGAACACTGGGGTCGTAGCAATGGTTGGGCGGTGGGATGGTGGGGCAGCACGCACAAACCCGCCTGCACACGATTGTCTACACATCATCTACTCTCGTGTTGTTTCTTGCGCCCCTATAGCACCTCCATGCTTGGGCTTGGTGCTCGAAATAGCAAGCGCAACGCCCGTCCGCAAATTTTCTCAATCAGGTGGCTTCCTGTCCCGTTTCAAGAGCAGCTGGGCCGAGAACTACAGCCTCTTTTCCTGGGCAGACAAGGGGCAGTGGGAGACAGTTCAAACGCCGAATCGCAACATCACAAGAGAGGGCGACTGGTTCCGGATCGGGTTCGAGCCGGTATTTGTTGACTATACCAAGCGGGGCACTTGGTTCATTGTGATCTCGCTTGTGGAGGTAGGTGGGACTGCGATATCGGTTTCGGGCATGTAGCCGTGACGAGTAACGCTGAATAACGTGTTCCGCCAGGCGTTGTAGTTGAAAACGGTGGCTTCCATATAATGCGCAACGTAGCTTTATCAGTTCGGCAATGCCGGAAGGCGTGGGATCGGTGGCCTTGTGGTGCACTTGCCGCGGCGGATTAGGTCGGTATCGTTACCAGGCTTGATCGTCGTCTGCGAACAATAAAAGACTGGTACCCCGGTCAATACTACCATGACAACCGCTGCTTGAGTCCAGGAAGTCCTTCGCCACTCCCTCTTGCGCTTTCCCGTCCTCCTTTCTGCAGTGGGCCTCCATCGCCTTGGTCGGGGTTATGATAGACAACAGCTACGTGCAGCTTCTTCTGTTCTGTGGCCTACAGTCGGCGATGTTTCTCATCCTTGTGTGCCTCAAGCCTTTTGCGAACAGGTGAGCCGGGCGTGTCGACCAACGCTGAAGAGCAGCCGTCGCTGTCCGTAGCACGCGTATTGCTTGACGACCGTAACCGCACTGTTCGCGACGAATCGCCCTTTTTGCAACATCGCATAGCTTCGTGCTACACACCCCAGCGGTTCAGTACGTTGCGCCTTTCCTTGTAGCCCTTACAACTTCTACCCTACCTATTCCGCATGACCAACTGAGGTTGAATTTCATGTTCGGTGCGTTTGGACTGGGAGACGGATATCTGCGTTGCCAAAGCTCAACAAACACTGCGTGTGCGTTCAAGCAGACTGCATGCGGTTCGGTTCAAGATTTATGTGCTCCTTCTTTGCCAGTGAGCGCTCAATGCCGCCGTCCGTTCCTTTTGATTATGTCCGGGAAAATGCAGTGTGATCAACGGTATTGGGGCATGCATCGTGGCCATCGATGCCGTCTGCACGGGATTATTGGCGGTTGCAGCCCTCAAGTGGGAGGGGACGAGCAGAGCGACAGATGTGAACTCTGCAGTCGGTGTTCTACAGATAGTCTCGCTCTGCGGTGAGACAACGCCTTCTTGTTGTTGACGGAAGTCTTGAGCTCCAGACAATCAGTCTGGCAGAAGCCTTTCGGTAGCTCAGCAGTTGCCGGAAATGGTGGTCTGCAGGGCGTATCTCATGGTCCCGACCCCGCGGCTCGATTCCCGCGAAACCCGCAGATTTATTTTGCATGTATCCTTGGTCGGCTAAGCTAGCCCAAGCCCCTGCGGCTCAAATACTCTGCAACGTCTGCACGGGGAGTTTTGAGAGTTTCGATGCTGAAAGTTCTGCACCATGTCCACTTGGAAATTCTACCGTTGTCGCTTGTGTTGTTGTTTGCCACTTTCTCAACCCCTGCGCAGCTCTGGTAATTCCAGTGTACTTGGACGCTGTAACAATCGTGATGGGAGCTATTCGCAAGCGCATACGAAAAGCCTTGGGCAAGACCGGGCAGCAGGTATTGTTGACGTATGCTTAGCGTTACCAACGCATGGTGTGCCAACACGAAATGCTCTTGTTAATAAAGTAGCGTGCGTGCTTTTCTTTAGTCGTACAATCCGTTCTCGCGTCTTACGGTGAGTTCCCTCGGCTTGTGACGGTTGGTTTTCCTTCGGTTTTGAGTTACAAGTCTCAGTGAAGTAGCGCGTTTCGCTGTGTACCCTGGCGAAGGAATTGGCCCTTGATTGGTGAGTATCGTCGAGGGAAGTCCCTGCTGAGCATTCTCGCGTTCGTTTTGAAGGCATGCGCTGTACATGAGTTGGTCTGTGTGACCCGCGATCGTGGCTCTTGAACGGGCTCTTGAAAGATGACACACCAGTAGGTAGGCAAGCATTAAAGCGTTTGCAAAACCTGAAGGTTGGACGATTAGCACGAATCGTTCGTTTCGTGTTGCGGGTCAGGTCAGCTCGTTGACTTCAAGCACAGCTAACACGAAAAAAACCCTTTCTTGTTTGTGTTTCTGCCACAGCAGTTGACAGGCGAAAGTCCGGAAGCCCGAGACTACATTCGCACCTTCACCCGACGGCAGTGGTGTGGGACGTGGTGCGCCATGTTGAGGCACAATGTCTTTGCCTGCGCGAGAGATACTCGTGACGGCGTTCGCAAACCCCACCTCCTCACAGCTGCTCGTTCGGGACCGTACCCTCCGTTGGACAAGAGCATTGGGCCGGACGGGACGGAAGGCGACGGTGGTCCACCCCGCCGCCCGAGTTTCAACGCTATCGGCACTGTGCACACCCCTGTTGTCGTTAGTGGCGAGGTGGCGGGGTCGCGAGCAACCGCGTGGGGTGGCATTCCGAGGCAGAATTCCCTGCAGCACGGTGATGACCGGGCCGCGACCGCCTCGTTAAACGGTATGAGCGCCGTGCCTGGTGCTGCCAGCGGCAAGGTGGTCATACAGCAAGGAGTGGACTCGAGCGCGCGCGACGCGAAACCTCCTGCTGCCCAATCTGCGGTCTTCGCCTCCACGGACCACGATGCGACCGTGTCGATGAACGGTATGAGCGTCGTGGAAGGTTTTTCCAGCGGTCGTGATGTGATACACCTGGGCGTCGACTCGAGCGGGCGCGACACGGAACCGCCCGCTCCCCCATCTGCGGTCTTTACCTCGACGGGCCGCGAAACGGCCGCTTCGTTGAACAGTAGGAGCGTGGTGGATGGTGTTTCCAGTGGCAAGGAGATCATACAGCAAGGGGTGGATTCGAGCCGGCGCGACATGGAACTGCCCGCTCCCCCATCTGCGATCTTTACCTCGACCGGCCGCGATGCGACCGCTTCGTTGAACGGTATGAGCGCGGTGGAAGGTGTTTCCAGCGGCAAAGAGATCATACAGCAAGGAGTGGGCTCGAGCGGGCGCTTCGCGGAACCTCTTGCTACCCAATCTGCAGTTTTCGCGTCGATGGACCAAGATGCCGCCATTTTGATGAACGGTATGAGCGTCGTGGAAGGTATTTCCAGCAGTCGGGATGAGATACACCAGGGTGTGGAATCGAGCGGGCGAGAACGCGATTCTCGTGTCGCCCCGTGCGCTAGCCACTCGTCCGACTTCATCCCCACAGATGTCGATGATGACAAGAGGGAGCGTATCTCCGTGAAAGCCTCGTCCGTTTTTGAATCTTCTGGCGGCGGCACGTGTATGGTCCAGGCTGGCGCTAGCGGGAGGGGACTTATAACAGGTGATGGTCTTGGAGGAGCTGATCATTCCCGTGGTGCGTCCGCGACCGCTCCATGTCGACACGACGTTGGACCCACGAATATTTCCTCGGCAAAAGAGCGTGTCCTGCGCTTCCAGAATACGCTCTTCGTATCCTCCAGCGATATCGCCTCGGAAAGCAGTTCGGCCGCGAACGGGGGGAGTAGTAGAAGTATCATTCGACGTGGCGAGTCGAACGAGCACGAGAACTATGCGCCATCACCGAAGGAGACAAGAGCAACGGGAGTTGGTAGCGACCAGATATCGGGAGCGGGCCGGGCCGGAGGTGATAGGAAAGGTGAACCCAAGCTAGCCTTTCTGAGAAGTCGTCCTCCCGTAGAGAAGGACGTGCCGAGGCGGAGGGGCGTCGCTGGTCTTGCATTGGCGGCCGCGACAACCACCGTGCCCTCCGCAACGGTACCGGGGTCTGAAAGCACCACTATCGACGACGAGAAACTCGATGGCGATGGGGGAGCTGATGAAAGTATGGACAGTAGCGGTCGGGGGAACCCGAAAGGCCTACTTCAGGTTCCGTGGGGCGCTCGAGGTTCAACCGAAATCGACGTGTCCGAGCACATACTCCCGGCTTTATGTGATTCTCCTGCTGCGAGTGAGTTCTTGAGCGCAGACTCGGACAAACAACGAACAGGTGCTGGCCACCACCATGGCGGGAGCCGACGGAAGTTTGGAGGTGCCTTACCGCGACTATCTTTGACCTCTCGGAACATTCCTACCGAGAGCTCCCTCCCTCGCCGGCGCTCTGTAGACGCGTGGCATCATCCGGTAGACGAGTCGATGAACAGCCTGCGCGTGTCTATTCAGGAGGAGGAAAACGGGGGTGCTACGAGCATCGGCGCCGGCATCGGTGGTGGCACGAGCGACATGAACACCGAGGAAGAGGACGACCTCCCGAGGGTGGATGTTACGACACGCGAAGGGAGCAGCAACCGCGGCGAGTCTGGGAAGGGAGGATCGGGCCTTTGGGGTCTGAAGAATAAAGCGCCCGTCGCTTACGATCTGCCTCGCCGTGGCTCGGGATACTCTGCGGATTCTTCCGGGCGTGCGGACGGGAGTCGAGGTCAGATCTTGCCCCAGCGGGAGGAGACCGGCGATGTCTGGGTTGGAAATGATCCCGACAGTGCTGGTGCGACCGCTGGTGAGGGCAGGGAACGATCTAGCTCCGGGGCAAGGAGCACCTCTGTCTTCGCTGGACTAATGGGCCAAGCGCGCAGGCCACTTGAGAGCGACCGGCCTAGACGCCGCGAGTCCATGGAGACTTCCCTTGTGAGCGAAAGAGTTGTGCTTCCGGGCGAAGATGTGTCGAAAGCCAGTGGTGCGAGCGCAGAAGACGTCGACAGCTCGTCCGGGTTCGCCGTGTCGGCAAGCCGTAGGGCAGGCGGCAGCAACAAAGTATCAAGGGAATTGAGGTGGCCCGCGGGTGCAAAGGGAACAACTCCCGTCGCCAGCGATCTTCCCCGCCGAAGCTCCAGTTACTCTGCCGATACCTCGACTCATTTCACGGGTGAATTAGACGTCTCCGGAGGCAGAGCATTTCAGGAGGAGGCACATAATGCGGAAAGGATCGCATTTGGTATTCGGAGCGATGCTAAGCCCGGGGTTGACTCTGCCAGGCAAGATTCTCGTGGAAACCCCGTTGCGAGCGGCGGTCGGAAGAGCGTTTTTCCGACGCTCGTTGGGTACAAGCATGCACCGGTCGAGAGCGATCTACCCCGGCGTCGGGCTAGCGAATACTCAGGAGCAGCAGAACCTAGCGAGGATCCCAGGGTGGACGGGGCGATGGGTGGTGGTGCCGATGCAGATGAGGCCGCAGCTGATGATTCGATCGGCAAGAGCGACGTCGACAGCAGCAGGGGACAAAGGAGGGACGGGGCGCGATGGGGCTTGGGGCGTAGAGCGCCCATCGCGAGTGATCACCCGCGGCGTTCCTCTGTCCGCTCATCGGGCCCTGCTCACGCCGTAGCCGCTCTCACTCCTCAGGGTTCGTCACGCCATGACGACGCTGGCCTCCCGGAAAGCTTTGTATTTGCCGAAGACTACACCTCTGTTCGTCTAGGGGATGGACTAGGGGTGAGCGTTGGGTCATCTATGTTAGAGAGTGGAGAAAGCAGCAGTTTAATACGGGGTTGGAGCGGCCGGACCCAGTCCGCTCGTAGCCAGCATTCCCCCCGGCACGGGGACGTGGAACCCGAGGTGAATACGGACGGCTTTAGCTTCACCCGGGGTCCTACCGCCGTTCGCTCCGGCCATGGCCTAGGTATCAGCATTGGATCGTCTATCGGAGAGATCGATGGAAATGATCATGATCTTGGGGATCTGAAAGACCAAGCCTAGGAGGTTTCACCAGTGCGGAGGGTTGTTCGAGAAAATGGTGCTTGATTGTGAAATACCGGTGAAGACTAGTGATAATATAATGCGGTAACAGCCCGCAATATTTCCCGAGATCACAAGAGGGATGTTGTGTTTGCCCCCAGAGTTGCTTCTTGGGAGCGCGCAGGTGTGGCCCCCAAACGCAGAAATGCTTTACCTTATTTCGCAGCACGCGGTTTATTGTTGTCGAATGCATATATATCAGAAACAAAGCGGGGCTTTGAAATTTGGATACACGATACCACGTGTTCTATCTGCTGTTGTTTTCTGTTCCCACACGCGATCTCAACTTTGGTGTAGATTGTGAGTGGACTTTCGAGCGTCGGCGAACGCTTTTGTCCAAGTACACCTGCTGTAAACCTTGTGGTGGAATTGCTAATTGCTGATTGGAGTGTTCTGTGTGGCTGGGTCTGGGAACGGACCGACACCAGCTTGTTGTGTCAAAACCGTTGTAAGTTAGTTCCCTTGTACAAGTGTTATCCTCCTATGTTCTTTGGACTCGAGAGGGGTGTTTGAAAAATGGTTAGCGATTGCCGCTGATCGCTGTTTGCTCCTGAAAATACGGTGAGCTCGTGATAAAGGACTATGAAGTATTCGGCGTGTAACGAGGTATCTTTAGAAAATATAGCTTTCCAAATGCGGCATGTTGGGCCTGTGTAGGTCTTTGCCGAGTCAGTCCTTTGTTGGAGGGCTGCGTTTTTTGCACATTTTTGTTGAGCTGATTCTACGGATGGTTGACGTTCGAAGAAAGTGAACAAAAGTCTGCTGCTCTTCAGAATAACGGAGCCTCATTCTCGTGTTGGTCATGAAGTCTAGTATTTTCGCGTAAGGAGACGCGTTGCCATTTGTAGGAGAACTGTGACGTTATTCATTTTGTGCGTAGAGCGGATGGGACGACAATGTGCCTTGGTCGGCGATCAAAGCGCTTCTTTCATTATGGAGAGAAGAAACTCGCTTGTTGTGGAGTGGCAAGGCGGGCACGGATGCTGTCACGGAGATGACTGCTCTGTGCTACCGTGCACACATGCTTTCAGAACAATAGGGCGTGTCCGCCACAGGATGAGGATGGCGAGGTAGCGTGCGTACCGTAGCAAGAGGGTCATGTCCTTGGAGGTGGTCATGCATGCATTCGACAACCTATTCTCCACCAGACGCATTGATGCAAATCCTTGTATTTTGTTATTTCGGGGATCACGTCACCTTTCAGTTTTTCCCCTACTGTACATCTTGTTCATCACCATTGTGGTCGGTTGTTGCTGTGCTCATTGAACGTTGACGGTGTTTTAGTCTTTACACTAAACCTCTGGCTGCCGTATCCCGCGCTGATCCGCCAAACGAACCGACAGGATTCGGGTTCACAGATCGACACAAGTATACATACGATGAAGAGACAGAGAAAAGAAAAGCAACGAAAATAACTACAACTAGTCTATGCCGAGGAATGCCCAAAGGAAAAACCGTTACAAACAAACCTATACATACGTAGCATGTATCACCCGAACCACGGGATTCAATTCAAATACCAGCATATTCCTCACGGAAGCTATATCATGCGTATCATAACTCCGACAACAGTCCACACCCAGACTCCCTTAGAGGTGCGAAGGGGGCTTCGCGAAGCGAAGAACAGTAATAATAGTGCAGGTCTAGTAGTACACTCCGTCGCAGAGCATGCCTTCGCTGGCTCATCGCCGCGAAATATTTGACACCACCCACTGTAAAGACCAATCAATACTTATTTTGCTACATGGGAGAGTACACAAACCTCGAACAGGAAGGAACTATCGCGCCAAATTTATGGTGGAAGATACAAACCAACAGGGGGTTTCGCTTTCTACGCAATAACCGATGATCCCAGTGCACCGATCCACTGTCGAAAGTGACGGCCATTTCGTCCCGGGATTGGTTGAATGGCGGCGGTACCAAAACCACGAGGACAACAACAGCAACTGTACCTACCTATTTTGTCCCAGCTGACCAACTCGGCCCTCCTAGCGTTGCCAACATGATCCATTTCATGAACCCCGGAAATGTCTGGACATCACTCTTGTGCATTCTTGACGATCGATCAATCTTGGCTATGGCCAAAACGGAAAATACCGAATGTTCAGTATCGATAACGCACGACTCTTTGAGTCATATTGCAGCTGCTGGCATGTATGTCTACCCCCCCTTCCCCCCCCCCCCCCCCCCCCCCCCCCGATCTCGATCTTGCACGTCAAACCTTGTGTTCTTTTGTGTATAGAACGTCAAGTGGCACCAGCCAGTCGAGCTTAATCGACGACCTGGTTGGTGCAACGAAGGGGTGTGGGAAGAAGTTCTATGGCGTCGTTGGTATGTCGTTGGAGAGGGATTTGTCCGGAACGAGCTCGTCGGACATTTTTGAAATTTTTGTCTTGTGTTCGATATTTAAAACATAGATTAATGCTGCGCACCATTTCCCGTGGTCGATACTTTAGAGACACGACGTGTTCTTTGCAGGCCATCCGTGGAACATGTTGCCACCAGAAAAGACCGGCATGAACCATGACTGATTTTCGGGAATTACTGACTCGGTTTCGAAGAAGAGCGGTCGTTGCATTCCCCTCCCTCTACCCCACCCTGCTCCACAAACTATGCATGCATAGGAACGCTTGAAACTCTGGCTATGAATCAGCTATGCATGCAACCTGCATACCGCCATAGACGACGCACGATTTTTTCTTTTTTCTGGTCTTCGCCGCATTTGAGCCCGTCGTCCATGCTCCTTCCTTTGAAGCTGGATTTGCGAGTCGGCACTACACCGGTTGCTGTCGCCAGTGCCGCCGCACCTCCCATTGCACTACAAACCATAGCCTATCTATGGTGGAGTCGCTGTTGTTCTGGGTGCGCCCCATCCCGCCCGGCGCAGGACATATATACCTGGTTGTTCAGAGGAATATATACGACATGAATAAGGTGACGCATGGGTGTGCGAGTCGACACAGTACACGATTGGCATCTCCGTCATCGGAGAGTTAGTCCAGGGAATAGCCACGCCTCTCAACAAACGTTGGAAACGTTGGTGTTTTTCCGTGAGTGAGCAAGAAAGAACAAAATGCGCGATTAACCCGAGAATTTGAAGTTCCACATGCAAACGTGCAGTACAAGGCGTCGCACTTGTACAAGGGCGTCCAACGCCGACAAAGGGCGGAGCGACGACGGCGCGATGGACGAAGGCGGCCCAAGTTCACCACACAATAAACACTAGTCTACCGAACCGACGGTCGAACACAGCACGTCGACCCCAACTCAAGCCAACCACCAAACTAACACCAACACCAGCCCAACCTTATCATCTAACCCAACCCAAACCCAAGCCCCATCCCAACCGAACGCAACCCACCAACACCAACTAATGCCTACAAATAACCATCCCAAGACCAACACCAACCCAACACCGACCTAGACCCTTCCCCGTATCGCCAACAAACAGCCCCAATCCCGACTGTACTACATATCCCAAACATCACTTGTAACACTGCTGCAGCGAGGAGATCAGCCGCAGCCCTCCTTGACCGAGCTAGGGCTGAATCGACGAGGCAGCCGACAGTCGTGTAGGGATAATACCCAACCACCCAACATTTTCCACCCCGGTCAAATCAGTCCAGCTTTGTCTTTTTCCAACGCACCGACACTGTGGCCGACGTCGTCAACACGGAACGAGGCCTACCCTTGACAGTACCCAACACATGGCAGCCCTACAAAGGCTACCTCTATCACCAACCCCAGCAAAGCCCCACCTGACGCGATCCAGCCCTCAGCATCAGTACAACAAGGTCGAGCACCAACGCCAAGCCTGACTCAACCAATCCGAACAACCGAACGCGGCGACGGAATAACGTCCGACTCCTGCCGAAATCAACCCCTACCTCAAGCCCACCCTACCCAAACCCTTCGCAATAACAACCCAAAAGGTCCCATAACAACAGCAACCCCCGCACTACCCTAGAAAGGCCTGTATCGGCTATTAGGCCTCCACAGCACTTAAAACCGAACCACATTTCAATTAATCCCATTACATCCATCCCCTTTCAGAATAATAGGAGCGGGCAGTAGTCTTTATCCTTGATCCCACTCAAGAGTACACTTGTACTTTGAACACGTAGACACGTAGACGTAGCATAACATCACAGAAAACAGAAAGAGTGCCGGCTCCTCGAATGCAAATATATGTCAATGCACAGTTTCGGACTGGGGCTCCAAATTTTCCGGTAATTAAGCAGATTTTGAGATACCAAGGACGATTCCTGGAAACTTCGAGGAGAAAATCTATCGATTTAAGCGGCTTCATGTGATTGGCTGTGGGTCAACAGTCCTCCCACGACCTTCCCCTGTCCGCAGGTGCTGCTGTTGTTTTTCGTGGTGCGCTGCGTGACAGCTAGCTAGCTGTGCACCGATGACAAATGTTATGGGATTTGAATGTGTAGGAAAGTACAAACGATAGTGCGGGCTAATGCCCAGAGGAAAGTGCGGGAGATGCAACTCCCCACGGAAGGATAAAACAGGGGACAGGATCTAGCAGCGCTTGCTTAAGCAGCTGATCCTGGCCCCATCCTAGTCAGTCCTCTACCTTCCCTTGGCAACAGCTACTGCAGTGTTCCAAACGAGTTAATAACAAGTGAGTTCGTCTTCACGGTTCTCCCAGATTGCACCGTGCGTGCATATCCCTTACACTTGGCGTTCGTTGTCGGCATAAACGTACAGCGTGCTTTCTGGGGTTTGTGTTTGGGCGGCTCGAGCCTGCTGCTGCACGCAGCTTTCTGCGCTTTCGTTTCCACACAACTTAGCTTTGCCTCGCTGATCGGTATGTCTCAACTTAGCGTCGGCTCCTCGGCCTCGGCCTCGGCCAGTCAAGAACCCTCAGAGTGTTCTCGCTCGCTGGTGTCTCCCCTCAGCTTCGGCTTTCGGGCCGACCACCGACGATTCCCAATCGTCGTTGCTGCCGTCTTTTGATGGCGCGCGTGCTGCTGATCCCATCATAGAAGCCACCCGTTTGTCAGAGCTTTGCGCTCAACGCCGACGGGAGGAGTTCGCCTCCACGGCTTCTACTGACGATAACCCCGTGGGTGCTGTCCTCAAATTGCCGGCACCCACAGCAGAAGCTTCGGTTTCCACCTCTGTCCTTTCGAGTACCCAGCCTTCTGTTTTTGCAGCCGCTGGTGGTGTGTCCCAAGTTTTCCCGCCGGAACCACATGTTGCTGATTCCACTTTTCATCTCACCTCCACCGCCGCTGACCCTTCCGCTGTTGGGGCAGACATTGGTTTTGACAATACTGGCTCTAGTGCCGCGCTCGCCTCATGGCTCTGTTGTTGGCTGCACACTGCATTTCGATTACACTGTGCCGGCCATTCCTCCTTTTTCGTCGCGTAGCAGTCGTACACAAGCCGCCGCTCGTGACCAACGGCTTCATGACCATCGTGCATCCGTTTCAGTGGCATCAGTGCCTTTGGTTTTGACTGCTTCAAAACCATCCGTTCCGGTGGTTTCGACTGCCTTTGCGGTTCCGACCGCTTCCAATGCAACCGTCTCAGTAGTTTCCACTGCCCCCGTTGCATCTGCTCCTGTCGTTTCGACTGCCGTGGTTGCTTCCCTTGATCGTGATGCACCTGCTTCTATAGTTTCGACTACTTCAACTGCAATTTCGGTTGCTGCCCCACCATCTGCTGCAGTAGCTCCGCATGTGTCTGAAGCATCTCCCGCTTCCGCTACCTTTTCTCCGCAGCTTCCCCTCTGCCGGCCCCAGTTTCGACTGTTTCAAATGCATTGGCTTCAGTAGCTCCGTCGATGCCTGCAGTTTCGACTGCCTCTGCTGCATCTATTGCTGTAGCTCCGCTTTTGCCCCCAATGATGGCTATTCCCCGTGTTGGCCCTATGGGCGTCCGGCGTACACATTCGGCTATCATTAACCCAGCAGTTACCGTGCCAGTAGCTTCGTCTCGGACTGCATCCCTCACTGCTGCACGCGTACCCACAGCCGACTCTGTGTCTGCCGTGTCTACTGCTGTTCGCACGCTAGTTGCGGTCTCGGCTCCTCTAGCAGTAACCTCGGTTACTCCTGCAGAACCTTCTGCCGATGCACCTGTTATTTTGTATAATGCGGTGCCTTCACCCCCCCTCCGCGCGCTCTGCCTCACACGAACGTGCCGCCACTTCCGCTGCTTTACCCCTTCTTAAAATGGCAGAAAACGACAACCGTCGTCTTCGCGACCTCCCCCGAAATCTACCATGGTCGCCACCCAGCTTGTGGTCAACCCTGAGGCTGCCTCCCTCACTGGTGGAGCCGTCTCCGCCCCTGCGATCCGAGCAACGGCCGCTGGCGCCGGCGAGAGGTCTTCGGCTACCCCCCGCCCGGCGTCGCCTGTCCCCCTGGCCCCGCTTTCCACGGCTTCGGCGGCCCAAGCTGCTTCGGCCGCCCAAGCTGCTTCGGCCGCCCCCGCTGCTTCGGCGGCCCCCGCTGTTTCGGCAGCCCCAGCGGCTTTGGCGGCACCCGCAGCTTCGGCGGCACCCCCGACCTCGTCGACCGACCTCGTCGGTACCTCCGCAGCGCAATCGTTGGGTTTGTTCAATCCTGTGGGACTGCATGACCGACGACCAGCGGCTGCTGGCCCTCTCCCCCCGGGTTCGCCAGGAAGCGGGAGAGGCGGTCGACCTCGACCGCGAAGCGGTTCTTCGGGACCGCAACGCTCGGCTCGATGCCGAGTTCATCAAAGCGACTGCGGAACGCCAAGCTAAATCGCGGTGTAAAGTGCGCGCCGCGCCACCAACACAGACACCATCCTCGCCTACGCCCAGCGCAAACAAGCCCAGGAACGGGAGTAGGCCCTGCTCGCCGCCCAGGTCGCCGACGATCGCCGCCAAGAGGACGCAATGGTCACCGAACAGGCCCGCGCTGACCAACAGCGCTAACACGATCTTCGGGTTCGGGCGGGGCGCTCCGTGCCGGGACCGGCCCCTGCTGCCGCTCCTGCCCCGTCGACACCAGCGGCTCGGACGTACGCCGCTGCCGCTGCCGCCTCCAGCCCTGTGACGCGGTCTTCATCACAGTCGCGCTCCGTCACCTTCGAGGCCGGGGACGCCAGGTTTACCCAGGCCAGGTTTTCTGACGTTGCAAAATACGCCAAGGTCAACTTCCAGGTAGAGGATCGCAAGGCCGTCATGGACTTGGCGGCTGGCGTGTCCACCGCCCTGCCGTCGGCTGCCTCCATCCAGGACGCCGCTGATGTGGCAAACGGGTCTCAGCCCGACCTCCAAGACGTGGTGAGCTGCCTCCTCGTGGCGATGCGGGCGGCCACCATGAACGCAACGTCTCCGGTGGTGTGGCCCGGCTGCACCGTGGCGGCTCCAGCATCTTCGGCGTTCCAGCAGCCCAAGGCTGGCCGCATCAAGGCCAAGCCGGCCCAGCGCACCGTGCGAGAGAGTAGTTCGGGCGAGGGGTCCGACTGGAGCTCGAGGGGAACGTCTCGTCGCCCCCCGGAGCCACCTTCATCGGTGGGCGATGGCCGGGCACGGCAGCAGGCCAAGCGCCACACGAGCGGGACTCGTGGCAGTGGAGGCGGATCGGGCTCAGGTTCAGACCGGATTCTCACCCGGAAGCACGGCGCTCGGAAGGGTCCTTCTTCCAGGCAAGTAGTCCCGTCCCTTATGGATGCGACTTTGAGTGATCGTTTTCTTTGACATGATGATATTTATTCTCAGGCTTCGGCCCCCCCCTCGACATCGGTTGTTGGTACGGTTTAGGCCCCCCCCTGTTTCCTCGGACTCAGAGCGTTTGCGTCGTGTTGCGTTTTCGGACCTTCTCCCGCCTTTAGCTTCCCCCGTTCCTTCGGAACCCTTTGCACCTTCTGTCCGTTCTGCCGCATTCAATGCTGTAGACTCCGGACGGGTACATAGCGTTGAGTTTTCGAACTCAGCCCCGGTTTCGGCCGCACCTGTTCTTTGGAAACCTCTGCACCCCGTAGCCTTTCTACCGCTCGCCATGCCGTAGATCCACGACTAATGCAGAACCCTGGGCTTTCGAACCTCAACTCCCCTTCGGCGTTTGTACCACCAGTGCCGGGTGTTTTGCATAGTATGTTGTCCTCGGACCATGCCCCCACAGCTGCTTCGGTAGCCGTCGCCACACCCCCTGTTGTTTCCGATGATCGTGCTTTGCCACGTTCTTCTAACACGGCACACACTCGTCAATCATCGATCGATGCGGNCTTTGCACCTTCTGTCCGTTCTGCCGCATTCAATGCTGTAGACTCCGGACGGGTACATAGCGTTGAGTTTTCGAACTCAGCCCCGGTTTCGGCCGCACCTGTTCTTTGGAAACCTCTGCACCCCGTAGCCTTTCTACCGCTCGCCATGCCGTAGATCCACGACTAATGCAGAACCCTGGGCTTTCGAACCTCAACTCCCCTTCGGCGTTTGTACCACCAGTGCCGGGTGTTTTGCATAGTATGTTGTCCTCGGACCATGCCCCCACAGCTGCTTCGGTAGCCGTCGCCACACCCCCTGTTGTTTCCGATGATCGTGCTTTGCCACGTTCTTCTAACACGGCACACACTCGTCAATCATCGATCGATGCGGCTGATGCAGCTGCTCGTAATGCTCATGTAGCTACAGTACAACGAGCGTACATCACCCTCAACTTAAAAAAAGTTGAGAATGTCGCTACCATGCCCTTCTCCGCTTCTCTGCTGCCGGTAGACGGCTATCAGCAGCTTCTTCGCACAAGAACGGCTTTGTCCGATATTTTGCTGTTGTGTGACGAGCAGAGTGAAGGTTTGACAGGCACTGATTTTGTGCGTGGATGGGAACGTCCTCTTGCAAAAATATTCTTGAGTGCGATCACCCCTGACAAGCCCTCTACCGCCGATCTTGTCCTTGCCATTACGGATTACTTTCAGCTAGTGAAAGGGAGCTTGGATGGAGGAACCCCTGGACCAGACGCTTTCCAGCTACCGTTGCGCCACCTGGCGGAGCAATTTGACGTCGGAGACCGCCAAGAGTCGTTTTTGCGGCTGCAACAAAGGTGTAGCAGATGGTACTCCTTTCGCGGACTATCTTCGGGCTTTCCGCTTGTAAGTTTCGTCTGTGACTGGCTCTGAGCGTACTTTGGCCCCTAGTGTATCCATGGTTCTCGAAATAGTGCGAAACTCGGTCGACAAGCAATTTCCGAGTCTGTCTCTGCTTTTGTACCCGGGTGCTTTGGCCACTGCGGTCAACCCCTTTGAGTCAATTGCGGTTATGTGGGCGGCGTTCGTGCCTTTGGCGACTAATAAAACCCCGGCTATCGGTGGTTCATCTTATTTCTCGTTGACTTCGACGCGTGGCTCTCCGCAGCCTCGGCGGTCTAACCACCGCGCCCCTGCGTCTTCGGGCCGATGGGCATCCGGCTCCGCACAGCACCCTGTAGTTTTGCCCGTGCAACCTCAAGTCGCGGATCCTTCCACGCACAACTACAACTCGTGGCCTGCTTCGCAAGCCGATTGGTCTGATGTATACGCCTTCACCGCTAATTTTCGAAACACCGATGATCCTTTATTGTAGCCTCCTTTGTTGACACAAGAGGCTCGATCCCAAGCCTTCCGCGAAAACAGAAACCGCTGTCTGAACTGCTCGGGTGCTGACCATTCCATGAAGCAATGTGCTTCTCCCTTCACGAATTCTAGAGGGTTGTTGGATCCCGGGTTGGGTCACCTCAACGACGACTCTGCTGCCTTTAGGCGTTGGCAAGGTCGCATCCGATCCTTCAGGCGTAAGGGTTCAGATGGCCGCAACAACAATCAGGGTAGATGCCACCGGCAGTCTTCTTCCTCCTCGTCTCAACGGAGAAACCACGCTGGGCCTCGCCGTTCCGACGGTGGTAGTTCCTCTCACAATCACCACCAACAATCACACCACGGTGGTCATACCGCGGAACATTCCGCGGGTAACCATCATCATACACAACAGACGTCTGGCAGCACCTACCACCCTGGTGCTCTGTCCGTCTATCAACCTCAATCGCACGCTCAAACTGGTCCCTCGTCTGGCGTCATGGTTTCGACCAATCACAACGCACGACAACCTGGTAACTTCCACAATGGCGGCCGTTCACGTACCGGATGACTCCCCGACGGTGGTTCGTCTCCTTCCCTCGGACCGCCTCCAGCATCTTTGGGAACTTCGTCTCGCTCAACTCAAGACGCGCGTGTATCACCCTCAGTTGCCTCTAGCACTCCGGTCTTATGCAACGACAACAATACTTCGGTAAATGATCTCCCTACGCGCTCAGTTGCCTCTAGCACTCCACTCTTAAGCAACGACAACAATACTTCGGTAAATGTTCTCCCTACGCGCTCTGTTGCCTCTAGCACTCCGGTCTTAAGCAACGACAACAATAATTCGGTAAATGTTCTCCCTACGCGCTCTCGCACTTCGGTGCTATCCAATGACAGCGGTACTCAGGTACACGCTGTTTCTTCAAGTGTCGATCAGGTCGGTCTTCAGCCAAATGCTCACATCCCACCTTCGCCATCGCACTTATCGTCTGCAACCTCTGCACCCTCGCCTCGTCGGATTGCTGCTTCGTCGGAAACTAATCAGTCTGACGTGAGTGCTGTCTTGAGGTGTGGGAACAGACCCGTTGGACCTTCGGGGCCAAAGAGTTCTCCTCGTTCGGCGAGCACCTCTCGTTCGCTCCCCCGTCGTCTGCAGATAGGATCGGCAGTAGCCATGACCTTCGGACGATTGATGAAGAATCGCCCGAATTGATTGCCTCAGGTGCTTCTTCGGATATGCTCAATTCGTCTATGCTCGCTTCCGTTGAAGATCCGCCTTCGACTGTTGCACCGATAGCTAACTTGACTGGTTCCGACCGGCAAGTTTTAGGGTCAAATTCGTCTGGCTTCGAATCGCTTTGTCCCCCTGGTTCCGACCGCCGGACACCCTCAGATTCCGCTACGCGACATTTCGACCGTGGGTCGTCTTTACAAGCCTCACCTCCGACGACGCACGCTCGCACAACGGCACCCACTTCTAAGCTGCTGCGACCGACGTCGACAGTGTTGAAACCACCGCTTCGGGAGGACGCCCCCGAAGTGACCTCCGAACAGCCGGCGGTCTCGCGTACCTTGTCACGGGGGAATAGCCAGGAGCGCCATGCTCGGTTCAGTTCTTCAACTAACCCGGCTTAGGCAGCCGTTCCCAGCGAAAGCGGCCTGTTGCCGAACACCTTACGAGGCGTTTCTTCAGGTTTAGAACTGGGGTGCACCCAGCCCAGTGTTGCTGGCCCAATTAATGCGAACAATCCGACTCAATGCGATTCTTCGTCGGTGCCCGCTGTTACAAGGACCACCCCCATGGATATTCATACTGTCCATCATGACTCAGCATCTTCGGCTGCGACTCCAGCTTCGACTAACAGCACTCAGGGCACTCCGGCCTCTGTTGCTCCGGCCGTTTTCGACCCGACTACCGAGTATTGTACTCCAGACATGGTTTTCTTTTGGAAGCCGCCCTCCCCTTTTTCCCAATGGACACCGTCGACCTTCACGGTCGATGGGGTTGTTTACTCGTGTGTCGAACAATTTTTCGCTGCAGAAAAAGCCCGTCTTTCCGGAGATCGCTGTGCTTTGCAGAACGTCATGAGAGTGTCAGACCCTGCCTTACACAAAAAGTTTGGCCGTGAGGTCCGTGGTTTCGACCAATCTTTGGGAACAAGAACGCGAAGACATTCTGCTCACTGGCTCTTACGCAAAATTTAGTCAAAATTCCGAGTTCAAAATCATCCTCTCGGATCTGGTGACAAAATCCTTGCCGAAGCCAGTCCTTACGACCGTGTTTGGGGCATTGGCCTCCAGGTCGATCACCCTGGCGCTGGATGCACATCTAGATGGCGCGGCCTCAATCTGATAGCCACCGCCCTACAGAACGTACGCAGTCTTTTACGACACCGTGCCCCGCCTCCCGAGCGCAGCTCTTGTTTGCTGCCCCCGACCAACCACGTTCCGACGTCGTCCCTTCATTCTACGGTGTATGAACTTAACCCTTCCACACACAAGCGCCTTCGCACGGCTTCGTGCCCTCTACCGACCGACCGGTTCGCGTCATTTTTGCAATACGCTCCGAATGTCCCGTCGGATCACGACACCGTCATTTGGGCCGTGTCTTCAGAATACATCCCGTCGTCCTCCTCCTCGCTCCCAGAGCAAGGTCGGGATTTGGTTGGTGGTGTCGTCACCATCGATGACGACTCTTTCACTACCAGAATCCTTCTCCACAGCGGTTCGGCCTCTGTGCAGTTTAGGTGTATCGCTCTATTCGATACGGGTTCTCCGCAGTCTTTTATTTGTGCTTCTGCATGGGAATCCATGAAAGCAGCTTCGGCTGCTTCAACGTTGTCTGAGAAACACACCCAACCTCGCTGTTGGGGTGGTTTTGGGAAATCTGCGCCGCTTCAACCTTCGACTATTGTCCTTTTGAGTGTTCAGCTTCTCCGTAAGAACCTTCCCACTTCCTCCCTTGCTGTTTGGGCATATGTTGTTCCTGACGGCGTCATGCATCATGACGTGCTCCTCGGCAGAGATAGTTGGATGCGGTTTAGTGACCGTTCTTACCGCACTTTGGGTGCGAAACGTCCTGGTGACCATGTCTTTGGTGAGCTTACTTTAGCCCAACATGACACTTGTGGTGCCACTGCATTTGCTCACGATCTGTCCGCAACGGATGGAAGTTACCAACTTCGCTATGCAGGCAAACATTCCGTTCAACTTCACCCAGAGCATGGCCTCATTCAGGTCAATTTGGTGTGCAATGATGGCTCGCCTGCCCTTGTGGGTAACTATTTGATGGATATGCTTCCCCAATGTGCTATGTTTTCTTCCGAGGAACATTTTGTGCAAAATGGTTGCCAACGAATCCCTCCTGCGGGCATCTCGTCTCTCGAACCCGGCGACGTCCTGGGTACAGCTTCGGCTCACCTTCTTCGCATGCCCCTTAGCGCTGTTTCTCGCCACAGTTTGAGCAATGGTCTTGAAACTGCGGCTTCAGAATCCACCGCTGCTTCAGACAGCTGGGTCCCTGGTCCTGTTTCTGCAGGTGGCGTTGATTCGTCTGCCACGCACTCCGTCTCTGACCCCTTTGTGTATAATTTGCACGAGGGACCCGTCCCGTCGCCAAGCGACCGAGGGGACTTCGGTTCCGCCAGTTCTTCCCCTTCGTCGCCTTCGCCTGCTCTTCTCGAGCGGTTGACGCCAGAACAGCGTCAAAATTTCTCCCAAGTCTGGGATAAGCTCCCCTGCCATCTCCGTGAGATTCCTTTTGATCTCCATGGCCCGGGTTGGACTCCCGATGTCATTTCTCAGCTTGGTAACGTTTTGTGCGAATATCATGATGTGTGTTTCGCGTTCTCCGGCCGACTTTGGATCTTGTTCGCTTTTTCCTTTTAAACTTACAGTTCCTCCTGGCAGCCACCCGTCACGTCTCGCCCCTACCGCGTTAATCTCCCGGAGGCGAAACAAGTTGACGCGATCCTTGACCAATATCTTGTGGCAGGTTTGATCCAACATTCGACCTCGCCTTACTCGAGCCCTTTGGTAGTCATACCGAAGAAATCTGGTGGTGTTCGCACCACCGTCAATTATCGCAAGCTCAACAAGCTTTGTGCTTTGAGTCAGCTTCCGATTCCTCGAGTCGATGATACTTTGGACAAGTTGTTGAAAGGGCGAATTTATTCAATTTTTGACATGAAATCTTCGTTCCACCAAATCACGGTGCACCGCGATACAATCCCTTTGACGGCATTCGTGACGTCTTTCGGGCTTTTCGCGTGGTTGAAGATGCCTCAAGGTAGTTCGGCTGCCTCTGGGTGGTTTTGCAAAGTTGTCAAGGAAGTCATCAAAAATCTCCGCGGTGTTGCATCGTACTTGGATGATTTGATCGTCTTTGATGTCACCCCTGCTACTCATGTTGGTACCATGCGCGCACTCTTTGAGCGCTTGCGTGCGCACAACTTGAAACTCACGCCTCCGAAAGCTACTATTGGCGCTACTGAAGCAGACTTCCTCGGACACACCATCTCCCCTGACGGCGTTAGGCCTAACGGTGCCAAGGTTTCGGCCCTCACCAAAATGCCTATGCCCAAGGATGTCAAGCAACTACGTTCCGTTCTCGGTGGTCTCAGCTACTACCGTAAGTTCCTCCCCAACATGGCTAAACGCATTCGACCTCTAACTACTCTACTCAAGAAGCAGGAGAAGTTTATCTTTACCCCTTCCATGGAGCAAGCCGTTCGCGTTTTGTTAGCTGAGTTGGCCAATCCTCCTGTTTTGGTTTATCCAGATTGGGATGCCTTTCAGACGGCTCGCGACCTTTTCATCTTTACGGTGATGCTAGTCGCGATGGGTTTGGTGGGACTCTCGAACAAGAACAGCCAGATGGTCCCACTCGCCCAATTGTCTTCATCAGTCGGGCTACTTCGGACTCAGAACGTCACTGGATTCCCCTCGATCTCGAGGCGGGTAGCATCGTGTGGTGTATCAAGCGCCTTCGCGGTTACTTGTGGGGTACGAAATTTCGCATTTTTACCGACCACAAATCTCTCGAGAATTTTTGCTAAGTGGGGGAGAACAATGCCCGCGTTCAGCGCTGGCTGGAATTTCTTACCGCCTACAACTACACTCTCGAGTATCGCAAGGGTTCCGCAAATGGCAACGCTGATTTCCTCTCACGCCTCCCAGTCGCTGCGGCTGAATGCGACTGTTCGGGTCGCAGCCGTCTGACCCCGGCTGAGGATGAGGAGGCGGTGTTTTTAATCCGTTCGTGTGGCCTTACCCTTTCCGGTGATCGGGCCGCGGGTATTGGCTTGGGTGGGCTAGTTCCTAATTCCCCGACTTCGGTCTTGGGTGGGCATGCCCCCTGTACGGCTGACTTCGCTGATTTCCGTCGGCACGGTCCGCGTCTACCGCCATCAGGCCTCTCGTCTTCATCGGGTGTTTGGAACGTCGCTTCCTTGTCGCCCAAGATCGCTCCCTTGCCGTCCGAGATGTTCTGCCGTTCGGCGCGGTCGCGATTGCGCAATCGACCTCCCATCGTTTGGTCTGGTACCCTACCTCAGTCTTTCGATGATGTTTTGGCTCTCGAGCCCGAGCCTCCGTCTGCCTTTTCCGGCCCTTGGAAACCCGCGTCGGACCCTCGACCTCACCCAAGTGATCTCCACCAGGACTCGTCGTCGCAAGGCAGCTGTGGCAGGCACGCCACTCTCGTCTGTTGATTATGGTTTTTCTGACGATGAGCCTTCTTTGTCTCCCACGCGAATTTCCGCTTCCCCTCGACCGTTTCGACGGTCTCCGACGGCGCCTTCGTCGCCGTCGATGACACCAGCCTTGCCCAGTTGGGTTTCGACTACTGGTGCTGGTGGTTTATCCTCGACTCGCTCCGCGCCTCTGGCTCATGGAGTGGAGACTGCGTCTCCGACGCCTACCACAACTGCGGTTGTTCCTGCTTTGCAGCCTTCTGCAGCCCCCGGCTCTTCGGAGTCTTTGTCGCGTTTGGTGTCAACCGCTCGCGCGAATTCGCCTTCGGCTTCCATTGCTGCTCTATCCTCGGATGGGTTGCAGTCGGCGCCTCGCGAATCAACCTCCTCTTCTATCGAGGCGGCTTTGCATTATTCGGCGGATCTAGCCTTCCGGGCGTCCGTCGAACGTTTCTCGCATGCTGATTGGGCTCGCGAGCAACGTAACGAACCTGTGTGTGATGCAGCCATTCGTTTCATCCTTCTGGGTCGGCCTTCGATCCTCCCTCCGGATTTCTTGGACCGTGTTCCGTCCGCTCGTCGACCCTCTCTTTCGGAGACTCGTGACCTGTCTAACAAAGGCTGGCTGCATGTTGACGATGATGGTTTGGCCTTGCTTGTTCGCAAGCAAACAGCGACCCCGTCGTCCACGACCACACGTCCTGGCGGACGTGCTGCTCGCCTTCTTAACGATGAACCCATTCGGATTAATGTTCCCATGCTCATGCGTCCGTGGATCATGCAAGTCTGCCACTCTGATGAGTCCTGTCACATCGGTGCGGCTCGCACGCTAAGCATCCTGGAACGTTTCTATTGGTGGATTGGCATGAGTGTTTGTACGAAATGGTGGGTGCGGCATTGTTTGCGATGCCAAGCTCGTAAATCGTCTCGTCAGACTCCTCGGTGGCCTACCATGTCCCTTCCTTTGCCTTCGGGCCCTGGTGTGTCGGTGAGTGTTGACTATTTTGGTCCACTTCCGTTGACACCACGTGGCAACACATACATTCTGCTCTTTACAGACCGTTTCAGCCGCCGTGCTGATACGTACGCGGTTACGGCTGCAGAATTCACCGCCGAAGGCGCCGCTGACATTCTTGTCAACAGGTATATCCCTTTGTGGGGTTGCTCGTTGAGTCTATTGTCTGACAACGGCTCTCAGTTTTGCTCTAAACTGTCCCAAGCCGTGTATGCCCGTCTTGCTATCCGCAAAGTGGCTACTAGTTCGTACCATCCCAATGGAAACGGGGGTGTGGAGCGTGTCAACCACACTATGGCTCAGATGTTGGCTATGGTCGTCAACGAACGACAAGATGATTGGGACATTCATCTCCCACACGTCGCGTTTGCTTACAACAATTCCGTTAGCGCCGCTACCGGTTTAGCGCCCAATGAGGTGCATATGAATCGCTTGCCTCGTTTACCGATGACTGTTCATGAGCATCCTTACGCTCGTGGCCACCAAAGCTTGCATCGTGATCAACTCGAATATAGCGATCGTGCTGCTGATCGCCAACGTCGAAGAACTTGGTGCGTGAACAGCATAACCTGTCCGTTTCGCGGATTGAGCGACGTAATTCCACTCTATCGGACGCTTTCCACAAGCTTCCTTCTTACACTGTTGGTGGATGGGTTTTGGTGTACAACTCCGAATCTACTGTTCGACAAGGCGTTCGTTAAGCACAGATGACAAGGTTCTCAAAGTCAGCTTATCTCTACTCTGGACTGGCCCGTTCAAAATCTTGGCTGTGGGCCCATGTTCTGACAGCCCTGACGGTCGTCCTTTGGCTTCCAAGTTGCTTTACTTGGACCTTCCTTCGGACCTGCCGGGCCAAGACTCGAAACCTCGTGTTTCGGTTGTGCGCTGCAAGCCTTGCGCCAACCCGCATGACACCGATAACCTACCGCGCTGTCTGCCTGCTGGTCTTACTCCGTACGTCCTGAACTCTTATGCAAACAAATCTCCTCCCTACCATATTTCGGAAGACGACGTGTCGACTCCGGTTGAATGTTTAGAGGTTGAACGTATTAGTGGCCACCAGTCCATCCGTGGCCCGTGGGGGCACGATTGCTGTCTTATATCAGACACATTGGCAAGGCCTTCTAAAACCCTTCTTGGGAGCGTGGGATGGACCTGCAGCATTCCAAGCCGCACCTTCTCCGGTACTGGGCAGGTTCGCCTGACCAACATCGCCAAACAAATCGCCGTTATCGTGCGATGCGCATTTGGGCCGCTACCAGGGAATTGGCGCGTGCTCAAGGTGCGCGAGCTTTGCCTTCGGGCTACTCGCTTGTTTCCCGTTCAACATGGGACCGTCGCTCCGCCAACACTCCTCTACCTGTGGGCGCCTTCTTCTGGTACAAGACACGAGATGGACTCTGGTGGTTGGGCAAGATTTCTGGACCACCTCTGCCGTCCTACTTCTACGTCGTCCTCTTCTTGGTCTATCCTGGACTTGTCAAGCTCGCCCTTCCCGATGTTCGCTTTTCTGCCGTAGAAACCGCCGTCTCCGGATCCTGGTGCCTCCAAGTATACAGCGGCAGCGCTCTATTCAAGGGTGTTCTTTGCAACATCGACGTGTCGCGTGGCGACGTTGTGACCGATTCGTTGTCTGATGACGTCGCGCGCCCACATTAAGATGGCATGCTTGGTTGTTTTTGCCTTCTGTTGCTCTTGCAGAAGCATTATTTGTTTTCGTTTTCTCGTTTTCTTTCTTTTGGCTTCAATAGTCCGCCAGATCGAGCTTTCTCTGTTCCCTGTCGAGGTATTGCCAGCTGTTGTTTGTTGTCACGACCCCTCTTCTTGGCTTCGCTTCCGAAACGTTTGGTTTCCGACCTTTTTGGTACGTTGTGATGCTTTTGTACATTTCTATTTTCGTATATTTTTGTCTCTACTTCTTAGAGTTCGCGGGCTGAAGGTGTTTCGTGACCTTTGTTGTCGCTCCCACGCTACCGTGGTGATTATTTGGCGTATCTTATCGTTTTGTCGATACAGGCCTTTTTTTTTCACCGTTCCTTTTTCGTCGCTCCGGCGACGCTTATTATTTTGTTCGTTTCTTTCGTGTCCTCTTTTCCCCTTTTCTTTAGGGTTCTGACCTGTTTTGGTATTGTAGCCTTCGCCTGTTGCGGCTCTCCCGTTGGTTTCCTCTCTGTTAGCCCCAGTTTATTACTTCCTGTACCTGCTTTTTATAGGTCAAACGATGGTCTTGCGACTCATCGAGTGAGAGGTGTGGGAGGGTGAATTGTGGTATTTTGGAGCTCCGCATCCTCGATACTCTCATTTGAGATCCGACCAGTACTTGTCAAGTTCCGAGATTTACGTATCTGCGTGTGAAAACTTCCAGGGTGGGCTAGTGTTATGGGATTTGAATGTGTAGGAAAGTAGAAACGATCGTGCGGGCTAATGCCCAGAGGAAAGTGCGGGAGATGCAACTCCCCACGGAAGGATAAAACAGGGGACAGGATCTAGTAGCCCCTGCTTGAGCAGCTGATCCTGGCCCCATCCTAGTCAGTCCTCTACCTTCCCTTGGCAACAGCTACTGCAGCTGTTCCACAAGTGAGTTCGTCTTCACGGGTCTCCCAGATTGCACCTCGCGTGCATATCCTGTACACAGAGGGGCTTTCACCTGCTGCTGCTGTTGAATGTGCGTGCGTGCGTGCGCGTGTCCGTGTCTGCGTCGCTCCCTCAACCCCAGCACACGAAATCGCACCACACCAGTACGGAGTCAGGAAGTGATTACTGTACACTGGCCGACGACAACCTCTGAACGAAGTACTATGTCGCGTTTCAAGCGTTTGGGAGAGAGACGGGGGGGTTGGGACCGGGAGGCACATCCGAGTCAAGCGCTCTTCTTTCTAGTAGACACCAGAGAAAATACTCGTGCGCGCGGAAGGACGCGCTCGCCTTCACCAGGAGGCCACTACTTGCTCTTCCTCCTCTCTGCTCTTCTTCTTTGCTGGCGGCGTTACCACCACCTCTAGGTTCGTGCGCTCTTCCTCCTCCTTGCCTCAATCTGACGGGCATGTTGCTGACCTCAAGCCAGCCGGAAACAAACCCAACTTTCTGACCGTGCAGCCTCCCTGTTTTTGTGTTGGTGGCGCGCCAACTCCAAGGCCTTTCGCTGGGCGCTGGCCTTCTCCTTTGCCGCGCTGACATGTTCTCAGCAGACTGCTGTGTGTGCGTGCGGTGTTGCCTGTGATGTGTTACTTCGAAGAAAGTTGATAAATAAAAAAATCGTGAACAGTTTTCCACAAACCAAGGCTCATAAATTACTGACTGTCAGGAGCTATCCTCAGAAGGACTGCTAAACTCAAATTATGTTTCCTTATTTCGGAAATCTCTTGAGTCCGAAACTGTCAAATGAGGAAAACTTGAATGGGGCGTGTTTAGTCAAGTAGAATACAACAAGCAGCAAGGTAGGAGGTAGATGGCGCGATTCCAGTACAGCAGCCGCTGCCCCCCCCCCCCCGCACGGCACCCCCGGTGTTTGCCATCGGGGTTGGGTTTTCGTCGCTTGGCAACGACGTTGTAAAACAAGCC